GCACTCCAGTCTGGGCAACAGAGTGAGACTCCAACTCAAAATAAATAAATAAATAAATGAAAATAAAATAAAATTAAAATTAAAAACAAGCAAACAAAAATAGTAAAAAAGCAGACTCATTTTTTAAAATATGCATAGATAAGCTGGTAAAGCTCAGTAATTATTCATCATTTGTCTACTGATTATAATTATGATTTTAGGCATATTGATTAAATAAAATTTATTATAAAATTTCACCCGTTTCTTTTGCAATTCCATATGATACAAATTTAAATATAAATATATGTATAGCATTTTTGCTTAGGATATGAAGATCACAACCTTGCTATAAATGCAATCTTCCATTAGCCAATATTTAAGCATGTACATTAATTAACTTAAAGTTTAACAGCTGGATTCATTACCAGTTCTGCTTTCAGAATTCATTGCAGAGCCTTCCCATGACCACCTTTTTTGCTGATGATCAATACGGTTGCTCCTTTCCAAAGTACGATAAAGAATGGCTTCATATTTTTCCTATTTAAAATAAATGCCAACACATTTTAACATACTCATTATGTTGGTTTGTATAATTTTTTCTCTATGGTTTATAAAACAACTCATCACCTAATTTTTCTCTCTGGTAAAAGTTTAAAATAATTAGAGATGTAACTCAGGTATCAATGAATACCAGCACTTCTCTGAAATAAATCATTTTTTTAATCTTATAGACCCTGCATCAAGGCACTGACTATACTTTCCTTTCTGCTTGTAGCATTATAAAAAATTAGAGCTAAATTTGTAGCCTATTTCTAGCAACTGTACAAAGACTGAATGGTATACTTTTATGTGTGCTAATTGTACCATATGATTTATTATTTGCCTACCTTAACCTTCCCCTCTGCTTGATTCTCTCAATCATTTACTTTATCAACTGGTGGGGTATGTATTTTAAGCCACCTTAAGTTCTTTGTGGAATGAGGCAGAAAAAAATAAGTATGCATAAAGTTAAATCTATGCCAGAGTCATCTATTATACTCACACTTGCAACAGCTTAAATTCTGGTGATAACTAATATAAATAAAGTTTCAAAAAAGATAATCAATGTCTTTGCCTTGACCTCAACTTCAATTTAAGCTGGCCAAGATAACAGCTATACAAATTAAATGCCACACTGTGGCAAAACAACTCCACTTTCAGAAATGAGTTCTTTTCTCAGATGTTTCTCATTCCTGTGCTGTATCATACTATGGACTATACTCAGGTAAGCAAATCGACTTTCAGGGCCAGAGGTTTTCTATTCTTCCCCAAAAACAACTGCTTCATAGCAACATCATCCTTACAGTCTCAACACTGTTTCTCTGAGGGCAAAGACAAACATAAGAGGAAAATGGGCCGGGCTCGGTGGCTCAGCCTGTAATCCCAGCACTTTGAGAGGCCGAGGTGAGTGGATTGCTTGAGCCCGCGGGTTCAAGACCCGCCTGAGCAACTTGACGAGACCTCATCTGTACAATAAATCAAAAAATCAGCCGGGCGTGGTAGCGCACGCCTGTAGTTCCAGCTACTCGGAAGGCTGAGGTAGAAGGATCGCCGGAGCCCAGCAGGTTGAGGCTGTGGGAGCAGCCACTGCACTCCAGTCTGGGTGACAGAGTGAGAATCCAACTCAAAAAAAAGAAAAGAAAAGAAAAAGAAAACTATTCCAGTTCTCATTGGTTGCTATCTTCCAATAGGGCTTATGTTAATTAGAGATCAAGAGTTCATAATTATTCTAGAAATGATTGATTC